AAACTTATTGAAATCGAACTAAAATTACGGCCGCTTTTCATATAACAGTAAATTTCAGATATGCTTGAAACTTCAATATTTCGAAATTTAAGGACGCTAATTTACTCAAAATGGATACACCTCGGTTTACCATGTAGCGGTAGCTTTCGGAAAGGTGAAAAACATATATTTAATACTTGCGCCGGGTATTTAATGTTCGGCTCCGCCCGAACTTAGACTTTTTTACTTGTTTTATATTAAATAACTTTTGCTGCATTGTCATAATATAGAGCCAAATGGACTACTGATACTCTAGAATAGAGTGGCAGCATGGTTAAATTAACATTTCGCTTATATTATCGATATTTATGTGTTTTAATATATTTAGGAAATCATTTACAGTCTTATAGGAAATTGCCTTATTTCACTGCCTTTACTTTTTTATGTTACAATATATGTCCAAGCTGTGTGGAGCTGTCGATACAAACATATATGTAGGCTTATAAGCCTGTAATTATACATTTTTCTACATTCAAGTTGAAATAGTATGCCCGAACGGATTAAAAATAGTAAATACTNCTGTCGATACAAAAATATATGTAGGCTTATAAACCTGTAATTATACATTTTTCTACAATTAATTTGAAATAGTATGCCCCGACGTATTAAAAATAGTAAATACTTACTACCTTTTCTACTACTTTAAAATGCGTGAACGGAATAGACCTACCGAAAAAGTGACGTTAAGTTACTGACAACACCTTGTTATTATTACCCCATGCGCGCCAATATATGGTACATACGAATAGATACAAAAAAGTAGCATTTACATATGCAAATACACATCGTGTAAGAGCGCTGTAAGTAGTGTTTGCCAAAACATGAATGGCAAAGTATAGGGCGTAAAATAATAACTGTCGCATAGATTTTTTGAAAACTAAAAGGGTTATTTATAGAAAAGTATTTTTTTTTTGTTAAATTTGTAAATATTTTACTTTAATTTTACTAATTAGTTTTAAAATTTTAATTCTTATTTGCATTTGCCAGCCTTTGGACATGTCTTTTTCAGGTGTAACCCAAATGAAGGTTACAATGCAAAAACTAATTAATAAAATTTAAGTAAAATCTGTGGAAAATTAAAAATAAACTACTTTTTTATTGCGCTTTTCTCTTAAAGTGTTTACAGCAGGTAAACTCAAATGAAGGTTAAAATTTAAAAAGGAATTAATGAAATTTAATTAAAATTTGTGGATAGTTAACAATAAAGTACTTTTTCGCAAAATCTATGCAGGTCCCTTTTATTTAAAAAAAAAAACTGTGCAACAGTTATTATTTTACAACCTGTGTATGATAAAATATTAATAGCTGGAAAAAGGAGTACAAAAAAGAGAAAGGAGTACATTTCCAGATATTTTTTTTGGGAGTACAAGGGAGTACATTGCAATAAAAAGGAGTACGTTTACTCCCAAAAGCAGTACGTCTGGCAACCCTATATATGTATATACATATATTTGTATGTAGATATGTGATGAAGGCATTTAAAAACATACCGTTCCACTTGTTATTATATCACTGGACCGATGGTGATAGTAGTATTGTTGCTGCATCGGTTCATACCGATTATTTTTACCATCACTATTGGCACTTCGACTATTTTCGTTGCTGACATCACTGCCACCGGCTAAATGACTACTGCCAAGGCCAAGTCCACCAACGCCGACACCAACAGTGACACTGTCGGCCACATTGCTGCCGCTACCCGAATTCGAATGGAAATTAGTACCTAGAACTTCGCCCACATTTAGTGAAGTTAATTCCGTTGGGAATACGTAGAATATCACCAACAATGCCGAATATACGATTAAATGGAAGATTACGCAGAACCAGATCAGATTTATCTACAAAATAGATTTAAATAGAAGGAAAGCAAATTAGAAATGTATAACCCATAATTCTTTTTTTCATATACGTACACACATACATATAGACATAACTATAATATTTTTTTTAATTTTGGTTTAAATTAAGTGTTACATGAAATCTCCGAGAGTCGAAATTTTCTGAAATAAGTCTTCAGGGAGGACAATTCTCGCTCAATGTACATAGGGATGAAGTCGACCGCACTTTTTTATAAAATATTTCTTTGTATTCACCACTTCACAACTCCGTAGAGCGGTTATTGAACCCTAGCCTACACTGTAGAAAAATTTATTAACATGACTTTGAACTAATTTTTAAAACTAGTTTATTTTGGTTAAAAAGTTTGTATTTTACGATTGGATAATCAGTAGAACACATTTCATTCTATCAAATTTTCGTTTCAATATATTTTTGGCTGCGATCTGGCAGGCAACTAGGTTCTTAACCAGCTCACGTCTGGGCAATCTAAATTTGTGCTTTGGTCCCAACATGGATACTTGTTCCAAGCAGCTTTTTCTCAACTCGCATTTCCGCAGAGTATGTATGGCACAGAGGGGTCGAAGGTTGATGGAAGGGTCGGTGCAGGGATCTTCTGACAAAAGCTCTCCAACCTCAAATTTACACCGCTATTCTGCAACACTTTCGTATTCGGAGTTTGCTAAGAATCGTAGAAATGGTATGCTGCATTCCGAATCGTATCTTCGAACTTTCGAAATTCGTAACAATGACATGCCTAAAAATGAACGAGTAAGAAATTGCCAGCTTTTCGCGTTATTTTGCACGAAAACAATTCTGTGTCGGAAGCGAGATAAAAATTAAGGAAAAATCAATGTGTGTTTGCAGGAAATATTAGTGGTGTTTTTTTAAACAGATAAATTTTCCTTTCGCATATATATATGTACATATATTTTTCTCTACTGCTTTATATGAACGAACAATAAAAATGTGTGTTGCAGGGTTCGTATTTGCACACACATGCGCAGCACATCCTAACATTTTACGCTCACACACGTGTGCTGTGCATATAAAAAATTAAAAACTTGCTCACATCACATGTGTGTGCCGTTTGGTAAAAAGCACGGGCACATGTGTGTACTTTATTTTTATTAATATCCCAGTGGGAATTAAGAGCACGTAATAATACCTTATTAGCAACTTACTCTTCACCTGGCAGTCATTACCATTTCCCTGCCGAACGTCCCTTACTTTTACAAAGGCATGGCCGCCTTATGTAAGTAGGAATTTAGAATGTACATTTGGTATCAGAGATACTTCTGAGCCGCTTTACAAAGTAAGTTACGTGTAATGCAGAGCAGTCGCTCGGAGTAGTTCGGTGCTTGGAAATAACTTCGGCTGCACGTTATTTTGCAACTGACAACGTAAAGCTGATGCCAGATAAAACTTTGTAGCTTTGCGTGACATTTATAACTTTGCCAGCAAAGCGCCAGACGCAAAAGGTATGCCACAATGAACGCCAAGAAAACAATGTTGTACCGCTTTTTTACTCATCAAAGTTGCTGTGGATTTTAATTATTTTGATTTAAAATTATCAGCAATGTAATTAAATTTTATGTTTCTGCATGAAAACTCGAATGACGAAACAAAATAAATCTTAAACCGGCTGATTGTTAACGCGCGCAAAAAGATGCGAGTCATCTTTTCGCTTCGGCTGCAGCTGTCAACGATCTTATGTGGCATGCTTTGTGCATTTTCATAAATTCATCTTATCTGTCAAAGCGAAGTCAGAAGCGAAAGTTTTATCTGGCATCAGCTTAATGTGTCTTCGGAGGTGTTCATTTTGCCCTTTACTAGTAGATGACATTGGTCATGATGACAATTTTGGTACTAAAAACTGAAAGAAAACATGGCTTACCTCGCAAGGTGCTTACCTATTTCCCCAGTGGGATAAAGCACACGCACATGTGTGTGCTTTGCGTAGAGAAACTTATACACTTCGATTTCTATCTCAAATCTTAAAATAATTTTTTAATATGTTTTCTGTCATATAAAAAAACAAACAACATCTCACTTTTTATTGAATTGTCTTTCAAAAAATAACGTTTAATAAACAAATTCTTTTAAAAATATATTATGTGCATGTGCATGGGCTGAAATTTGTACAAAAATCGGCTCACACACATGTGCATGTGCTTAATAACAAACAGCACACACTTTTCTGTGAGCAGAGTTTGTTTTCCACTTATGCACACACATGTGTATGAGCAGTGAGTACAAATTGAATGTGTTTCTGGCGTGTGTGTGAGCAGAGCATGTGTGTGCAAATACGAACCCTGGTTTGTTGCCCCTTATCGAGAAACTTGGATGCGGTTTAGTTATTTGTACAATAATTTTGGAATGGTGCATCCAAGCGCGTCACCCGAATTAAAAAAACTTTAACATACACGTGTAGTCAAAGGATAAAACTTTAATCTAAAACACAGTTTTTAATTTCCTAGCTATAGTTTATTAATAAATTCGGTTTGAACCATGCACTTTTTTTGGTAAATTTCGATGTTGGTTCTGCGCAAAGATACAGTGGATGGCGTAGCCGGAGTTATATGCACAATAAAGCTGATGCCAGATAAAACGCTTGCTTCGCTTTGACAGATAAGATGAATTATATGAAAATGCACAAAGCATGCCACATAGATCGTTGCAGCTGCAGCACGAAGCGAAAAGATGACTCGCATCTTTTTGCGCGCGTTAACAATCAGCCGGTTTAAGATTTATTTTGTTTCGTCATTCGAGTTTTCATGCAGAAACATAAAATTTAATTACATTCCGCCCTCTTCCCGACGATGCCGAAGGCAGAAATGAGCGCAACCAGGTGGTGGACCTAACAAAATGCATATTTTCAATGGCTTGGAAGAAGTTGTTATTACATTAACTTAATTGAGAACCAGTTCTTCATGCATACATGCGTTCTTGATTACTATGCCCAGACTAGTGTCCGGCCGATCGACATCGGCTAGTATCTGCTAAAAGAATCGGCATCGGTATCGGCCGATTTTAGCCGATTCTTTTTACTTTTTCCGCACTTTATTCCATGTTATTTATTATTTACGTTGCATCTGAGATCCCTTCCACGAAAAAAATGCCAAAAATCAATGGTAAGTCCTAGCTACTTAAAATTTGCTCTTCGTTAAAATAAAATTGACTGGGCTGCAAAACTGCATACTCAGAATGTTTGAAGAAAAAGTTTGAAACTTTTACTTACATGGTTTTTGTTAGATAACGAGCTACACTTTCATAAAAAAAAATATTAAATAAAGGGAAATAGCCAATAAATGCTAAAAGGTCTACACTGCACATATTGTTACGATTATCCTTGAATTAATTACTGAATTCCTAAGTCCTTGTTAAATAGTTTACGTTACAAAAATACTTTCATCATTATTTTAAAATATACGGTTACTGTTTATTAACAAATTGTATTCAATACAACGCATTTATAGTCAGTAGAAACTGCAAAATACAATACAAATACAAAACAATCGAATCACTGAATTTTACAATCTGGGCTCGAATCGCAACAAACGATATCGTACTACTCGTCACGTAAAAACACATTTTTCGGATGATGACATACGTAAACGTACTCTTTGTCCAATTCAGCTTATACTGCCTGACGTATCACGTAATTTTCTTTCGTATCGTTTTCGATCCGTGAACGGATGTTACGATTCGAGCCCTGTTTTTTAGTGAATAATTTCGAACTCAGGTGTTAACAGAAAGTGTCTGTGAATACTGAATATTCGTAACAATATTAGGTAAAACTTATGTATGTATATAAAAATCAGCACTTCCACTTCAACAAAAGTAACTTACGTTTTTGCGTAACTTTCCTACCTGCTACCTGTAAAAGGGCGGCCTACCCAAGAAAAAAAGATACGCATACATTCTAAAATACATACATATAACACTATTTATTACTTAAATTTTATTAATTCGAAAATAAGATAGGTTTGGCGGCCCTGGGATCTTCGACTATTATGTTATGAATTGTTGATTGTTCATTAATCAATTGTTAATTGTAAATGTTTGAAATAAATGCAAGAAAATAATGTATGGGTAACTCATTTCCAGAACAATTAATAACGTATTAGTATCAAATAATGAAGGATTTCAAACTATACAGTATGTTTATAACCCAGGTAGGAAAAGTGGCTGTCAGACTCGCAGTACTGGCGTAGTACTTTCCCAGCCAGTAGTGGGTTTCACATTTAAATTGCGAAAAACGCGAGCTATTTCGAACAATGGAACCAACTAAAATACATAGTACACTAGGTCCCCTATACGAATATATAAACCACGTTATGATGAAATGTGAGGTAATTGAGTGATTTTTTCCATACATTTTTTTCTTAAATGGCTATAACTTTTTGATTAAGGGGTTTATAAAATATATTCAGGTTCGAAAACGTGATGTAATAAAGTAGAATCAAAATTCATAATTCTTTTTATACCCGAGCGCACTTGTGCACAAGGGTATTATAACTTTGTTCACATAACGGTTGTTTGTAACAGGCAAAACGAATCGAGATAGATATAGACAAATGTATACATAAATGATCAGAATGAAAAGAGAAATCGATTAAGCGGTGACTGTCTGTCCGTCCGTCCGTCCGTCCGTCTGTGCACACGATAACTCGAGTAAAAATTGAGATATCTTAACGAAACTTGGTACGTGAACTTCTTTTGGGCGTGGGACGGATGGTATTGAAAATGGGCGAAATCGGATAATAACCACGCCTACCTCCCATATAACGGTAATTTTAAGAAATACGAAAACTGCGATATTTTAGTAACTACTGAAGATAATTCACTCAAAATTGATACTTACAATGAGTTTTAGACGAAAAACATGAATATTATAAATTTTTGGAAAATGGGCGTAGCCACGCCCACTTATGGTTACATGTGTATATCTTGGTAACCGCTACACCAATTTCTTCCAAACTTGGCACAGTTGTTGGTCCTGGTACAGCATACCAACTGGCCGAAAATTTCTAAAATCGGACAATAACCACGCCCACATCCCATATAACGGTAATTTCGAGAAATACAAAATCTTCGATAAATCAGTAAATATTGAAGCTAATTTATTCAAAATTGATGATTGCAACAATTCTTTACCAAGAAATACGTTTATGACAAAATTTTGGAAAATGGGCGTAGCACCGCCCACTTGTGATCACATATATTTATCTCGTTAACCGTTCTAGTAATTTTTACCAAACTCGGTATGGTTATTGTGCTTGCCACATAAAAGCAAACCGTTGAAAATTGTTGAAATAGGACTAAAATTACGGCCGATTTTCATATAACGGTAAATTTCAGAAATGCTTGAAATTGCAATATTTCGAAATTTAAGGATGCTAGTTTACTTAAAATTTATACACCGGCTTATCATGTAGCGGTAGCTTTCGGAAAGGTGGAAAACATATATTTAATACTTGCGCCGGGTATTTAATGTTCGGCTCCGCCCGAACTTAGACTTTCTTACTTGTTTAAATATTAATTAGTCATTTTTTGATGTCTCTGCGTCCATTACAGTCTAATTTCAACCCACTGTGCGGCTGTCTACTCTGCATTTAATTTCAACTAATTTAAAATGTATTTGGCTTGAAGCACTTCAAAGTCAGTATGTTTCTTTTTCAGATGTCTTTTCATGCTGAAATAGTTAATTGCCCAGAGTTAGATGATATTTCAACTAATATTTAATTATTTGCAAAGATATGTATCAAAAGTGTAAGCATTTGGTTTATCTCAATTAGGCTGCTGGGTGATTATATATCAATTTGAAGTTAGTTGTTACATAAGTGGAAATGAATTAATTTTTCTGAGGTAATTGGTTGAGCTATGCCGTACTCAAATACATGCGTGCTAAATATTTAAACGGCAATAAAATGTAAACTATTAATTTTTATACATTATTTCCCTCACTGTATGAATGGGCAGCCATTTATATTTATATCTTCCACACAACGAAGGTGTGTCTTAAAAAGATTATATATTTTGATGTCCAAGTCCTATGCTTAGCAAAATAGATTCATTCGAGGGCCAATAAAAATATCTAGTAGATGACTGTTTTTTTGTTTTATCAGACACTTACAACAGGCGAGCAAAGTAAAAATGTAGCAAAAGAAAATATCGTTTAATGTTTACCTGTAACTTTTTTACATTCATCAACAGTCGGTTATCTAATTTAAAGAACATCAAAATTTAAACATTATGTTTACTATTTTAGGAGCTATTGTTATTTGAGCTTGAGCTTTCTTTGTAAAGTTTCTTATGGTTTGTGAAAATAAACTATTCATCATTGAAAAAGGTTGTAAATAATGTTTATCGCGCCATAATTCAAAAAACGCGAACTATTTTAGGCCTAGGAACTAATTTTATTGTGCGAATGATTTTTTGTGCTTTTTTCTTACATACAAGAGTTTAGTCTTGAAGAGTGAAAAAAATGTCTGATGCGTCTCTTACGAACAGATTTTTGGACATACTTTCAGTACTACGACTAATCCTCTTAATTTATCTCTACCCATAAAATAAGTCTTCAAACAACAATAGCTTCTAAAAAGTAAATATAAAAGTTACAATTTGATATTGTTGTTTAGATTGGATAAATATTGAATCTTATTGTACTAAAACCTGCACCGAAATAACCTACTGTCGATAAATTCCAAAATAAATTCAAGTTAACACTTTAGTTTTTTTTTTCAATAGTCGCTGTATCCTTTTAAGTGCCTGATAAAAGAACAATTTTGAACGCTAACTACTCGATAATTTTATTGGCTCCCGAATGAATCTATTTTTCTAAGCGTAAGGCTTATATGTATGTCAAAAGATATAATTTTTTTAAGACACACCTTCGTAGTGAGGCAAAATAAAATTAAAAATGGCTACTATTCCTAAGGCGTTCGAGATGGACCGCCAATTTTAGGTCCCTTTCGTAATGAAATGAACCACAGAATGTAACCATAAATTCTTTGAAGTTGCTAACAAAATAGCCTGTATATACTTAGGCATACATATGATAGTACGAACAATAATGTGGAAACCTTTGCTTTTCGTCCATATTTGGTAATGCTGACAAACGGCACCAGCGCAATGGTTAAGAAAATGCCACAGAATATCCCCGCCAATAGTCCTGCAAAGTTCAATTGCCAGGGAAGTGTACCGATTCCGAAGAGCAGAGCTGCCGTGCATATCAGTTTGAAAAGCGCAATATGTGGCTTACGCAAATGCTTCCAGTGAATTAGTATGAGTATTACAACTAGCGAGGCTATTACACCGGAAAGCGATGCCAACGGCCCAACCTGTTCAAAATAAATGTAGAAATATAAAGAATACGTAAGGACTGTTTTAATAAAAAAAAATTAAAATTACATTGCTATTAAACTTACCTCCGGCTTATATGGCACTAATACAGCGCTGGTCAAGTTGCCCGCCAAACCCGAGCCGATATATACAATAGCTGTGCGTATTGGCCCAATTAAACGCTCCAAATCGGCTAGAAAGACGTGTTGAAAGGCAATAGTAATGGCCAAATGTAGAATTCCGGCATGCAAACAAAGCGATGTGAATAGACGATAAAATTGATCAGGCACCTCAACAGAGAAGAAAGGCAGCATGCCGCAGACGTAATTCAGGCAGGAAATCTGAAAAATTTTTGGTTTTACTAATATTACCATTAACGTTTATAGATAATGAGATTTCCGACCAAAATTGACTGAATTTTATCCCTTTGGTGGGCTGGCCAGATTAAAATCTATTTAGTCGGTTGAATATATTTTCAGAAAAGTTGAAGAAGAACTTTACACCATTCCACATTAGGTCAAATGATACATTTGGCTGTGCGAAAGTCCAATTTCGTAAAGGCAGTTTTACATTATTTTTTGCTGCCATTCTGTAGAGAATACTCCAAAATAACAGAAACTTCACTTAGTTTTTGTAAAATAAAAAACACCGTTATACAGCAATAAACCAAAGTTACACTTTCAAAACGTTATTGATACGTTGTTTGCGCAACCGGTTTATTTTGTAAATTTCAAGTGCATTGTTTTTGTAAAGTTCGAATAACTAAAGGAAAATTTTAAATGGGGAAAAAAATATATCTAAGTGAGAACCTATGTCCCAATTAAAAAAAGTGACTTTTTATCATTTGTTTGCAAAAAACTGACTTATTTGCATAACCTCAAAAATTTTTCTGATTTATTTCAATTTATGATTTTATGTAAGCTTTTACAATTTTGTTAACTTTCGGCAAACAAAATGGAATCGGAAATGGATAAATTAAGATGTAATGAGTTCAATTTATTTTACTTAATTTGCCGTTTTTAGCCGTTTTCATGAAAAAAGGTTTTTTGTGGGCTATCATGCTATCACAAAAGGCAAGTTGTTTGAAGTTTGGCTGATTGGATGTTCGAAAAAAGAAAAGCCTTTTTCGGTTGTCAACCATGTTGAAAAAAAATTTGGTGCTGCTGATATTTGCGAAAGTTCCATGAAACTCTAAGAAGAAAAAAACGCGTATTTTTTGCAATTATTTATCAAATAAATATGAAAATTATGGGAAACAATTTGGAAAGGATGCTAAAATATTTATATCTGAAAACATTGCGTTTCTTGCTGATGAGGTTCTTTTCGAAATCAAAAAGCCAACTGTGTCGACCATCAGCCGGATTCTAACTTTCGCTATCGCTAAAGTGCTAAAATAGGATAGCCAACCTTTTTCCGAATTTTTAGCTATCTCCAAAAATATCTCCAACATTTTTTGGTGATAAATAATCCATTTTAATGGTGATAAATAGTGAAAATGGAAGTATGTGATACCAAAAAAAAAATAGCAGCCTCAATTTGCATTACATTTCATCTCCTGTAGCGTAGCCGAGGCTATGTTACAAATACACTAGCGCCTTCGCAAAAAGGCAAATCCTTGAGAGAACTCACGGACTGAAATTTCCAATTTTTTTTACTCAAAGTGAATAGAGCTTTGAACATTCTTTTAACAAATTAGTTATATAAACATTCGTATTCTTTTCAGGAAGTTACCAGCGATTTTCGGTAAATGTGTCACAAAGCAGCATTTGTATTCTGAATATAAATAGATAATATCGGTGGAGAATTTGGAAATACTGAAACCTCAAGTGAAAATGAAGTGATTTATGAAGACAAACTGCTTTAGGAATCTCTCCTCAAGACATATCTGCGAGACATGTAGTAAATATTTTTCTTTTTTTAATTTAGGAATTTCGATAATGCCATAACTAATCGCTAGAAGAAACCATTTATGTACATGTGACCATACTTATTTTATTATATAGCTCATTTTAAAGAGGAGCGGGTTGTGTATGATAAGAAAATAACTTGTGTCAAAACCAAGCTAATTGGACAATGTTTTTGAGTAATACCTAAAACATATACTCATCATTTGAACATACAAAAAAGCAGTAAGTTCTGTTTTACGAAAGCCAAGTCTGTTTAACATTTTATTTACTGCCTTTACACTTGTTTTAACGTTTTCCATCTTTTTACATTAAAATAATGCAATATTTTAGCTGCTATTAATTTCGCACAGAAAAAGTAATCATTTGACCTAATGTGCATTCCCAAGATAGCCGGTGCTACGAATCGAAAATTATTATAAAATATACGTCAACTTTAAGCCACACCCACAACCCGCTCCGTGGTTGTTTATAAATTCTGCTGAACTATAGACAAGTGTTCTCCAGGCTAAGAATTTTGATACCGGATCCACCGAGACAAACATCAATATTTTTTTTTTTTGAGAGCCCGATATATAACTCCCTGTGACAATTACTTCCAGGCTAGGAAAACAATGTAGATAGAACATTTCGGTGGACCTCCATATTTCAGGGGTAAATTGCTCAAAACTGGGTAAGTATGGCTAATAAATTAAACGTGGAAGAGCATCTAAACGTAAAAAGTCTGCAGAAGTTTGTGGTCTTACTGCCTAAATCGGACTTCAATAGTAAGTAAACTGGACAAGAAGGACTTGTCTAGATTTGCTGCGGTTTTCACAGGCCATTTGACCATAAGCACTCTCGCGACTAGGATGGGACTGGACTAAAACGTTACCTGACCCTGCCACTAGACAAGTTTTCTCCGCACAAAGTTCCGATCAAAACTGATGAAAACCGACCAAATTCCGTATGCAAGGTTCCCTCCACTTTGTGTGACAATATCAAGGTGCACGCCACAAACTGGAGGAGAAGCGCGGCCAAACACTAACATATGTGTAAGCGCCAATCTATTATTATTACTTTCAATCCAGCTCTTATAATTTATTAAACACAAATCAAAAGTTAGTCGTCACTCGTGTTAAAATTTCGGCAAAAGGGAGACTGAGCAGTGCTAATTTATTGAAATGTATGCGAAAGTTCTTAAAATAATGAATTTTTTAGGATATCATTAGAAATTAAATGGATTGTAGTTTGCGAAATGAAATTACAAGGAAATTTAGAGAGATTTGGAAAATAAATGGAATTATGGTAATTTCGGAAGCGCTCCTTTAATTCTAGTCTAGGGATGCCAAGGGTAATGAGTATAGTATTTTACAATATTTTCGATATATTTTAATATATTTATAACAACTTTTTCGCTTTCATGAATCTTCCAAGGATTATTATTATTACTATTATTATTATTATTATTAGTATTATTATTATTATTATTTATTTATTTTTTTTTTCTTTTTTTAGGTGAGGGAAATGCTTTATGCACTGGCCGGGGGCGCTAGTCTCTATACTACCTTCCCCGAGTGTGGGACTCCCACCGAAGCGTGTTGGGCTACCCACTAAAACCCAAACTCCCACCGCCCGCGCAAGAATCCCGCATCTGGCACCGCAATTCTGCATGTCTTCAGATGCAGGAGCGCGCTGTTAGAGCCTTGGGGCTGCTCTTTTGTAGGGGCGTTTCATTCGGGTGTCCTCAGTAGACAACCGTCCTCTCGTTTGCAGCGGAGTACGAATTTCACGTATCTCGCAACTGCTTCCCACTTTTCTGCGCTGGAGATCATTACTCCAATTATGTTGTTCGGAGTTATGTCTCCGTGTCTTTCTTCCAACATTCTGCGCGAAATCAAGAAGTGTTCGCAGGTGAAGAATGTGTGGTACACGTTATCTTCGACGTTTCCACAGTAGTGACAGAACGGTGAGTCCACCCTTCCCATTCTATGAAGATATTCTCGGAAGTAACCATGACCGGTGAGGAATTGCGTCAGGTAGAAATCGACTTCCCCATGTGGTCTGTTCAGCCATGTTTGAAGGTCGGCTATCAGGGAGTGTGTCCATCGACCTTTTGTGCTCGCGTTCCAGTTTTGTTGCCACTGCTGGATCAGTTGCTCGCGCGCCCTTGCCGCGGCAGCTGCTCGACCTATCTCGGCACTGAGATTGTAAATCTCTTTTCGCTCGTAAGCAAGTAGCTCAATTGGCATGACGCCAGAAATAACTAGAACCGCGTCCGCGGACACTGTACGGTATGCAGAAGCAATGCGTAGTGCCCCTCTGCGCTGTACCGAAGACATTTGAACCCGGTATTTTTTGACTTTCAATGCGTCAGCCCATATTTCTGCCCCGTACAGGAGCACCGATTGGACCGCTGTCATCAGAAGCTTCCTGCGGCATGGCTTCGGGCCGCCCACGTTTGCCATCAGCCGGCTTAGAGCCGCCGTGCTCTGCGCAGCTTTTTCACATACTCCATGGATGTGTTCCCAGAATGTGAGTTTGCTGTCAAGCTTCACCCCTAGGTATTTTGTAGACCTAGAAGTCGTCACGGGTTGAGGTCCGACCATTATATTTATAATTGTTGGGATCCGTTTCCTGGTGAGGAGCACGATCTCCGTTTTGGCTGTAGCCAATTGCAGACCGTGATCGCTCATCCATCCACTGACGTTGCGCATGACCTGGTTTAGCTTGAGCTGTGCTAGCTGGACATTTCTTGCTGTTATGACGGCTGCCACGTCGTCCGCGAAGGCGACAAGGAAGGCGCTCTCCGGCATTTCCGTGCGCAACAGACTGTCATACGTGGCGTTCCAGAGGTCCGGGCCAAGTACAGACCCCTGTGCCGCTCCGCCGGTTATACGTCTCTTTCTCTGACCTTGTGTTGTGTCGTACAAAAGCCAACGGTCTCTGAGGTAGTCCCGGATCATATCTAGCAAGTATGTTGGAACCTTGAATGACCGTTCCAAGGCCTCCAGCATATCGTCCCATCTTGCCGAGTTGAAGGCGTTCTTGACGTCCAGTGTGACTAGCAGCACTATTGGCCGCGCCTGGTGGCAGGCTTCTTCGGCCTTATGTACCGCCTCGACTACTTCGCCAATTGCTCCTATAGTTGAGTGTCCCTTCCTGAAGCCATGTTGTCGGGGTGAAAGGCCTCCCTCGCTTTCTATGGCTGACGTCAAGCGTATTTTGAGCAGACTCTCCATCATTTTGCCTGCTGTGTCTAGCATGCAGAGTGGCCGGAAGGATGAAGGAGAGTTTGGGTCCCCTTTGCCCTTGGGTATAAGCACCAGTCTCGCCTTCTTCCATTGGCTTGGGAAAACCCGGGCCCTAAGGCAGCTGTTGTACATGTTAAGCAGAAGATCAGGGCTCGTTTCCGCTGCTAACCTGATTGCCTCCGCTGGTATGCCATCTGGGCCTGG